AAAGACGAAAATTCTAGTTTTCTGGATGTCTTCACATTTAACATCTGCATATAGTACCCTAGTCACATATAGAATTATTTGATTGGCATTTTTGAGTTAAACCTGAAGCCCAAAGGGCTCCTTAGAGCTCCCAAGCTGCATTTAGATGAGCCCTCACCATTTGGGCCAAGATATTATGTGGAATTTATGGCAAGTTCCAGAGAAAGAGAAAATCCTCTGTCTTTCTGGAAAAACTCCTAGTGTGTTACTAGACCCTGTTACTTATCTGAAGTGTCTTTGTGTATGTGTAGGTGGGGGCATACACACATGTGCCCATGAGTGTACACACCAGTGAGTACACAAGTGCAGGGACCAGAGAGAGGAGAATACTGGGTGTCCTCTTCTGTCATGATCCACTTTACTCCCTTCCGAAAACATCTTTCACTGTATCTGAAGATAGGCTGGCAACCACTGAGCCCCAAGAACCCCTTTGTGTCCATCCCCCACAGTACTGGGGCTGTGTACACACATGACCATGACTGCCTTTTAATGCATGTTCTGGGGCTTTGAACACATGTCCTCATGCTTGTGGTTGGAAGGTTTCTCCGGTCCTGCCTGTCCCCTGGTGGTTCTGACAAATCTCTTCCACCCACATCTCGCAGCAGCTTGGCCCCAAATAAACACACAGAGGTTTATATTATTTACAAACTGTATGGTTGATGGCAGGCCTCTGGCTAGCTAGCTCCTATAACTTAACCAATTTCTATTCATCTCTAAGTTGCCATGTAACCATGGCTTACCCGTATTTTTACATCTTGCTTCTCCTGCTGGCAGCTCACAGCGTCTCCTTCTCCTTTTTCCTCCCCCATCTCTCTTGGATTTTCCTGCCTGCCTCTATCCTGCCATGCCATAGGCCAATGCAGCTTTATTTATCAACCAACCAGAGCAACACATATTCACAGCATACAGAAAGACATCCCACAGCACATGAATGCACAGTGATCACTCTAAGCCATCTCCCTAGCTTCTGAAATTCTTTTTGCAGACACGTGCTTTCAGCCTGTAGCTTGGATTTCCTTCTTTTGATAAAGGGTATTCTTTTTACAAAGGGATAAACACAATATATGAGAAAGGAATCGCCTTTGAAATGGATTGAATAGAAATAATTGGATACTTACATGCAAAAAAATGAATTCCAACATAGATCTTACATCTTTTCCAAAAATTAACTCAAAGAGCATCACAGACATAAATGTAAATCACAAAACTAGAAAACTCTTACAGTATAACAAGAGAAAACTCTAGGTATCCTTGAATTTGATAATAATGCTTTTAGATTTAATAGACATAGCCATTAACCATGTACAATTGCAAAATCATATATATATATATATATGTGTGTGTGTGTATCATCACATAAACATACAAATAATATATGTTTTTTTATTGAATGTAAGAAGAGAGAGTAGCAGTGCAATAAGCTCTTGGAGCTCAGAGACGATGAGTCATAGGTCAAGGTAGACATCCCAGTTGTGAAGCTGGAGAGCAGGGTGGGCCGTGTCTGTTGGTGCAGAAGAAAAGAGGGAGGAAGGATGAAAGAACTTGAGCAAAGTATGGATGGCCCATAATCTGTGGAGGACCCACATCTAATCAATGGGGCAAATGTACAGTTATCACCACAGAGTAGCTAGAATCTGCTTATGGCCCTTAAGTGTGTTTTGGGGTATGTCAACTCCATGTCACTAGGAAGAATGTTCTGAGCTGAGAGTTCCAAGCATGATGGTTCTCAGAATCATTATCAAAGTCTCCCATGACCATCTTTAGAGCTAGATTTCTCAACGATGGTATTATTAACATCTGGGGACAGATCATCCTTTGGGAGAATGGAATTATCTTGTGCATTAGGATGTCTGATTGTACTCTCTGCCTAATAAATGCTTGGAACACCCAGTTTCCTCATGGATAATGACAACCAAAAGTATCTCCAGATATCTCCAAAAAGCCCTCAGGGAAGGAAATGGAATTTTCTCTGAGAACCAGGGATTCAGAGCTGTAGTTAACAGTCACACAGAAGGCCTGTTTCTCAGGAATGTGCTTTCTGGGCACAGACTGCCTATCCTGTCTTTGTGGAGTCTGGAAACCTCTGCTTCAGTTCTTGCCTCCAAGTCCCTGCCTTGAGTTCCTGTCTTGGCTTGCTTGCACAGTGGACTGTAGCCTGAAGCCAAATAAACCCATGTTTCCAATGTTGCATCTGGTCAGTGTCTTATCATAACCAACTGAGAGTCAACTAGAACAAAAATATTTACCTGTTAATGAACAGAGAGAGACATCCTTACAAATGGAAAATTCTAATATAATATGGAATCTCTTCTCCCTCAAGGTTTTATCCTCAAACAGGTCACTAACATTTTCCTTTGATACAGAATTTTGTTCTGGTTGGGAATGAAGACCTGAGGTCAGAGAGGGGTAAATGAGGTATAGAGGTTGAAAATAGGTGTCTCAGGAGTTATCTATAGTCTTGACATAACCTCTAAGCTTTTCTTAATAACTTGCTATTCTTCTTTCACCTAGACACAGTATTTAAAACTCAATGTTCATGAAATTCAGTTTCATCTCTTTTTTTTCTTGTAGGTTTTAAAATTCCAGGTAAGGTGGGATACCAATGGCTGGAGAGATGGCTCAGTAGTTAAGTGCATTTGTTTGCTGCCCTCCCAGAACATCTAACTTTGATTCTCAGCACTCATATTGGGTGACTCACAACTGCCTATGACTCCAGCTCAGATTCCTTCTTCTGGCCTCCATGGCCACCTGCACACACATGGCATGTATACATACACACATACATAAAAATAAAAACAAAATTTTAAATAAAGTAGGCTGCCCATTCATAATCTTTGATTCTATTGCATAGGATTTCTAATTTAGTGTTCAAAAATGTATGGATATCAAATGTTCACTACAGAGGTGATGCACAGCTAAGATATCTTTAGGTCAGAATTTGGATTTCTCTCTCTCTCTCTCTCTTTCCCCTCTCTCCATCTCTCACCTTCTCTGGTTAGTTTGCCTAGAAGTCTGTTAATTTTGTTAATATTTTAAAGAACAAACCCTTCACTTTATTAGTTTTATGTTCCGGTCTTTAGTCTCTCTCATTGATTTCTGCCCTCATCATTAGTGTTTAACATTTCCAGCATTTGGGTCTAACTTCTTGATTTTTCTAATGCATTGAGCGGCATCACTGAGCTATTCATTTCCCATCTCTCTGATTTTTTAATGTTGAGAACTTACAGTTATAAATTTTCCTCTCAGGAATCCTGGAGGTTCTGGTAAGTTGTGCTATTGTTTTCATTTGATTTTCGGAATTGTAAATTTTCTTTCCTGATTTCATCAATGACTCATTGTTCATTCAAAGGTCAAATATTTGTGTATTTTCTGAGTCTAGCCTTGGTAGTGATTTCTAGTTTTATTGCAACATGGTCTGAAAAATATAGGGAATTTAATTTTTGTATTTGTTAAGGTTTGTTTTGTGGCTGTAATGAGATCAATTTTTGAGAGTGTTCCATGAGAAGAATGTGTGTTCCCAATATGTTGGCTGAAATGGTCTATAGATATGCATTGACCTATGTTATAACTTAGTTCTGATGTTTCTTTGATGATTTTTAATTTGAAAGATTTTTGTAGATGTGAGGGTGGAATATTGGAGTCTCCCACTATTATTGTGGCTTTTTAGTGTTTGTTTTGTAAAATTTGGGTCCTAGGATTCACGGAGTAAATATTTACAATGGTTTTTATCATCTTAAAAAATTGCTCTCTTTATCAACATACACTGGCCCTCTTTATTCCTTCTAAATAATTTTACTTTGATGTCTAATTTATCAGATAGGGATTCCTGTGTCATCTTGTTTATGGTTTCCATTTCTTTGATAGGTTGATTTCAAACCTTTGATTCTTGTTTTTCTTCAGGGGCAGGGAGTATTTCCTAGGTACGTGAATTTGTTGGAGATATCAGGTGTGTGTGTGTGTGTGTGTGTGTGTGTGTGTGTGTGTGTGTGTGTGTGTTGTACATCAATGTACCACAGCACTATATGGAGGTCAGAGGACAACTTGTGGGTTCTCTTCTTCCACCATTTGAGCTCCTGGCATTGGACTTAGGTTCTCAGCCTTATCAGTACTCCCTTTACCCACTAAGTCATCTTGCCAGCCCTGGATCTTAGTTTTAATCCACTTGGTTAGTCTGAGTCTTTTAATTGTTAAGTTAAAGTCATTTGCATTCACAATTATAACTAAGAGGCCTTTGTCATTATCGATTATTGTGTGCTGGTTGTTGTTTGGGTTCCTGGCTGATTAATAATTCTGTTGTTGAATATCAGTTGAAGATGTGTGACATTTGTTTATGCTGTGGAACATTTGTTTTAATGATGCAAAGATGTGTTGCATTCTTTTATGTTGCATTTGTTTAATTCTGCGATACTTTGCCTGTCTAAAACATCTGATTAGTCTAATAAAGAGCTGAACAGCCAATAGCAAGGCAGAAGAAGGGATAGGTGGGGTTGGCAGGCAGAGGGAATAAATAGGAGGAGAAATCTGGGAAGAGATCGAGGAGAAAGAAAAAGGAGAAGGAGGAGGACTCCAGGGACCAGCCACCCAGCTACACAGCAAGCCACAGAGTAAGAAGTAAAGAAAGGGCTACAGAATAGAAAGATAAAAGCCCAGAGGCAAAAGGTAATGGGATAATTTAAGTTAAGAAAAGCTGGCTGGAAATAATCCAAGCTAAGGCCGGGCATTCATAAGAAAGAATAAGCCTCTGTGTGATTACTGGGGAGCTGGGTGGCGGGCCCCTCAAAGAGTAAAGAGCCAAAAGAGTAAGAAAACAACAATTACATAATTCCTTTCTTTTCCTGGTAATGTTAGATGTTTACTGTGTTGGACACGATTGGTTCCTTTCTGGTTCTCCTCTGTTCACACAGATAAAACTATCTTTCTTTTTCCTGTGTGTATAGCATTCCTTTCACAGTTTCCTGCAGTGCTGGCTTAGTGAGCATGAATTGCCTTATCCTGTGTTTGTCTTGAAATAGTTTTATTTATCTCTCAACTTTAATAGAAACTTTGCTGTGCACAGCAATTTTGGTTGATAGCTATTTGCTTTCAGGGCTTGAAATATGTCGTTCCAGGGCTCAGGAGACGATGCCTCAGCAAGAAAAGTTCTTACCATGCAAGTGTGAGACTATGGTTCAGATCCCTAGCACCCACGTGGTGGCCCACGTGTAATCCCAGCACTTGGGAAGTGAAAACACAGGATCCCTAAAGCAAGCTGGCTAGACTAGATGAATCAATAAGCTATGGGTTCATGTGAGATCCTGCCATAATATAGGAGATGGAGAACAGTCAAGGAAGATATCTGACATTAACCTCTGGCTTCTATACACATGCACATGTAGTGGGTAGCCATTCCAGCTTTGATCTGGAAGTTCCAACCCTCATTGAGGCTTCGGTAACTGTCACGCCTACAAGGCGGGGCCGAGAGAGGAACCTGAAGACCCAAGATCCAGATCCTTGTCTTTTTATTTGAGCTCTCTATTTGTTTTTTGAGCCTTTTTAAAAGTGGCGCTGGCTCTCTTGGTTCCTGAACCCTGGATGCTGGAGGTAGACCAAACAGAGTTCTCCAGAGAACACCGCTGAACTGCGCTACGCCTTTCTCAGACTCTGTAAACTATCCATTCTCTTGTAAGTTACCCCACAAAATAAACCTCCCTTTTAACTACGTGGAGTGTCCTTAATAATTTCACCAATATTCATGTGAGATCCTGCCATAATATAGGAGATGAAGAACAGTCAAGGAAGATATCTGACATTAACCTCTGGCTTCTATATACATGCACACACATGCATATGTACACATACATGTTCATATACATGCACACACATGCATATGATGAAAAACAATCATTCCATGCTTTCCTGGCTTTTAGAGCTATTGATGGCAGATCTGATGTTACTCTGATGTTTCAGCCCTGTGTAGTAGCTGGTGTTTTCCCCTAATGGCTTCTAGTTTTGTTTCTTTGCTTTGTGTTTTTTGATATCTTTACTAGGAGAGATTCCTCTCTGGCCGTGTCTATTTGATTCTAAATGTTTCCTATGTTTGTGCGTCAATTTCTTTCTCTAGGCTTGGAACATTCTCAGTTTTAATTTCATTGGGTAGACTATCTAAGCATCTGACTTTATCTCAGTTCCTTCTGTCTTATGGATTTTTAGGTTTGGTTTCTTAAATGCAGTCAAGACTCCTTGTAAGTTTTGGTCATGATCATTAACTTTTTATTTATGTCTTTATGTATTGTTATCCTGACCTTGTCCTCCATTCCTGAAATTAATTCTACTTTCTCTTGCCTGTTGATCATACTTTCTGCTGTGTGATTTTTATTTGATTGGTTGGTTCTTTCATTTCAGAAGCTTCTGCGTGGTTCTTTTTCAGTGTCTCAATTTCCTTGCTGAATTTTTCCTTCATGTTTTAAAAGTTTTCCTCCAAATTACTGATTTTTTTTCATGCATTTTGGTAACTGTCTTAGAGTTTCTATTGCTGTGACAAAACACCATGACCAAAAGGCAAGGTGGGGAGATGGGGGTTTATTCAGCATTGTCAGGACAGGAACTCAAGCAGGGCAGGAACCTGGGGGCAGGAACTAAATACAGAAGTTATGGCGGTGTGCTGCTTACTGGCTTACTTCCCATGGCTTTCTTAGCCTGCCTTCTTATAGAACCCAGGACCTCCAGCCTGGGTGAGGGCAGGAGACATTTTATCGACTGACTGAGGCTCCTTCCTCTGATGACTCTACTTGCGTCAAGTGGACACACAAAACCAGCCAGTACAGTAAACTTTCTCATCTTGGTCCAGAACTAAATTCCTTGTCTGTTTATTTGAGCTCTCTATTTGTTTTTTGAGCCTTTTCAAAAGTGGTGCTTGGAAATATTTTCCTGGTGTGTCGGCTACCTCACCCTCCTTGACTCCTGGAGTTCAGAAGCCGCCAGCTTGTGGGTGACATAGTGGGATGCTGCCTCACGCTTTACGCCTCTGGTAGAGTGCATGCATCCACTGACTTGTAGCCCCCCACCATTGGTTTCTCTTGCTTGCTTTATTTATGTGAGTCTGCATGTTAGGTTGTCTTCACTTGGACGTGAGTCCCAGGGAAAAACCGGCTGCAGTGAGAACTGAGGGTTTGCCAACAAGTCTCCGCATAGGCTATGAAGGCGCATGTGTGCTTTGCCTCCCATGAGGGACTTTTAAAGTTAAAGTCATTATTTGACAGTGTCATATGTGTATAAAGTGCATTCTGACTACTCTCACCTCTCTCTACAGCACATCTTTCCCCTCCCCCACCTCCTTCAACATCCCCTTCTCTCTACAAATCCCTTCATCCTTATCTTTTTGTTTTGTAACCCACTGAGTGTAACTAGCCCCATCCACATGACCATGGGTTTGAAATTCTCCATTGGAGCCCAGTGGGCTCACCCAGTAGGCTCACTCAGTGGGCTCACCCAGTAGGCTCACTCAGTGGGCTCGTATGTGCACAATTGAAGACAATAACTCTCCGAGCATCCGTAGACAATTGTTTTTCAAGTGGAGCCCCGTGAGCCCCTCCCTCATCCATGACTGACTGTTGGCAGGTCCTGTCTTGTACAGGTCTAATGCAGACACCATGACTCCTGTGAGTTTATGATTACAATGGCTACACCATGCCCAGAAGGTCATAGTTCAAGCCCTTCTTCCTATCAACTACCTCTTACATTCTTTCTGCCCCCTCTTCTTCGATGTTCCATGAGCCTTATAATGCATGGAGGCAGAGTACTGGATGAAGAAAATGTACTTTATAGTTTGTTTTGTATGTATGTGTGATTCATACCAGTATTTAAATATTGACAGGAAAGGGGGATTGAGAGGGGGACAAGAGTGGGTAAAGTAAGATGAAAGGGAGAATCTATGGGTTTGAGGTATGAAAAGCAGTAGAGAAGATATTCTATATTAAGGTTAGAGGAAAGGAAGAGACACAAAAGCTTCCAATGAGAGACAAGATACAATATATCAACTGAACACAGAAGTGTGCATTCTAAAAATTCTGTAAAGCTATATTGGTGAAATTATTAAGACAACTCCAAGTAGTTAAAAGGGAGGTTTATTTTGTGCGGTGACTTATAAGTGAAGGGATAGGTTACATCCCTTCTGGACAAGGTGTAGTACAGTCTGGCAGTGTTCTCTGGAGAACTCTGCTCGGTCTACCTCCAGCGTCCAGGGTCCAGGAACCAAGAGAGCCAGCGCATCCGGATCTCAGGTCTTCAGGGTCCTCTCTTGGCCCTGCATTGTAGGTGTGACAGTTACCAAAGCCTCAATGGGGGTTGGAACTTCCAGATCAAGGTTGGAATGGCTACCCGCTACATCTCCCCCTTTAGTCTAAATAAGAAGGTTCTAACCTAATACAAGACTATATACAAAGGAATGGTTATCAAATATTGTCCAGGAGTAATGAGGGATAATGACCTAGATAAGATGGAACTACAACCAATGTGAACAATATTAAGCAAGAAACACATACTAAAATCCAGAGAAGTCTAGAGTGTAGGTAAATGGCATGTTACAAAGATCATTCCAAAAGGTGTCCTATCCTAAAAAACCTGAATCTAATACTTAATATGTTCTGTCTAAGATATATATATATATATATATTCTAAGTTGTAACCATAACTGCTGGTCTTCAATCCCATCAAAGACCTGAGAAGGAATATAATGGTACCTGAAAAATGGAAGATGGATGCAAGCAACTTTCAGGAATCTTGCAAGAGTAGACAGAGACAGCTGACAGCCTGGACAGTCACCTAATGTTTCTCAGCATTGTTGGTGCATTCAAACCAGCTATAGGTCTAGAGTATCTGACAGACCATTTTCAGAAGCAGGAATTCTGAAAGACCATCTTACTCTGTCTTGGCAGAGTTCAGAAGCCTGGCTAGCTCAGTTGGTAGAGCATGAGACTCTTAATCTCAAGGTTGTGGGTTCGTGCCCCACGTTGGGTGCCAGATATTGGTGAAAGTATTAAGGCCACTCCATGTAGTTAAAAGGGAGGTTTATTTTGTGGGGTGACTTACAAGTGAAGGGATATGTTACAGGGTCTGGACAAGGTGTAGCACAGTCCAGTGGTGTTCTCTGGAGAACTCTGCTTGGTCTACTTCCAGCGTCCAGGGTCCAGGAACCAAGAGAGCCGGCACATCCTGATCTCAGGTCTTCAGGGTCCTCTCTTGGCTCTGCCTTGTAGGTGTGACAGTTACCGAAGCCTCAGTGGGGGTTGGAACTTCTAGATCAAGGCTGGAATGTCTACTTACTACAAAGCTATATTTATAAAAAAGAAAAAAATTAAAGTTTAAAACAATACAGCCACCAATGAGTAATGAAATGCAGCAGAAGGTGTGAAGTTCTCTTTCTGTGTTTCTTCCTGGTTAGGGAAGGCCTATTCCTAGTATTCCCCTTAGTTCTCTCTGCCAAGTTCCCTCACTTCCCCACTTCCTCTGGTCCCTGTAGGTCCTGTCTGTCATAGCAGGAGTGGGAGCAGAACCACTGAGATCACTCAGCGGCAGACTCCCTTGCCAGGCTTTGAAGCTTTTCTCCAGTGTCTGGGCAGCTCATGTTTGTTGCTCCTGTCTGGATGCTACACAGTGTTCCCCATTCTGTCATGGTCTTCCCAGGGTCCTGGCTGGTCCTTTACTCCAGGGAGCAGTAAGGGAGAGAGAGAGAGGGAGAGAGAGAGAGAGAGAGAGAGAGAGAGAGAGAGAGAGAGAGAATGATGCATATTGCAGATATCTCAATTTTAGAGCCCCATCCCTTCTTCTCTGGGACTCTGGGTTGTTATGGGTAGATCCAAGCATGCTACATCCAGCCTCCATGGAGATCTTCCCATGGTCCCATCACTTGCTGTATCCTCAGTAAGCCAGGCTTTCCCCAAAGTACATTAGAAAGGGACCTCTGCTTCCTGTCTGCTGACAAGGGAACAGGACTGAGGGCCAGGCTGGGAAGTGGCACACACCACTTTTGTTCCTGTCCCTGTGACCTCCCTAATCACATGACTCTATTTAGATACAGGAGCACTATTGGTAGTCTGCCTCCACTGTGCCTGCCAGTTTCTGAGTCCATCCACTTCCCACATCTTAGTTACTCTCGTGTGGTTTCAGGGTAGATATTTGGCTTCTCCATGTTCTGAGCATAGCAAAACTCAGGAATATCTATCTCATGTTGCTTTGAACAGATTTCTAATGAATAATTTAGCATCCTACATATCTTCGTATGTACCAAATAATACCATTTCATCTAATTCTAAACTCTTTACAACAAAATAAGTTCAGCTTTCTCTTCCTTGGAATGGTTGGGTTTGCTACTATTCCCATCTTAGAAGATGTTGAAAATAGTCCAGCACAATAAACAAACTCATGAGAATCAACATTTCTGTTCACCAATTTAAGAGGACGGGCTTCAGGCTCACAGCTAGTCTCAGAGCTAAGGGTAGTCGAACAAGAAAACGCAAACTATCTGATGATTAAACCTTTTCACTGCTGTTCACATAGATCTGCTGTGATTATTGAGGAGGTGTGAAACAGCTAATTGTTGGTGTCAACAAAATGGATTCCACCAAGCCACCCTACAGCCAGAAGAGATACGAGGAAATTGTTAAGGAAGTCAGCACCTACATTAAGAAAATTGGCTACAACCCTGACACAGTAGCATTTGTGCCAATTTCTGGTTGGAATGGTGACAACATGCGGGAGCCAAGTGCTAATACGCCTTGGTTCAAGGGATGGAAAGTCACCCGCAAAGATGGCAGTGCCAGTGGGACCACACTGCTGGAAGCTTTGGGTTGCATCCTGCCACCGACTCGTCCAACTGACAAGCCTCTGCGACTGCCCCTCCAGGATGTCTACAAAATTGGTGGTATTGAAACTGTCCCTGTGGGCCGAGTGGAGACTGGAGTGTTAAAACCTGGAATGGTGGTTACCTTTGCTCCAGTCAATGTGACAACAGAAGTAAAGTCTGTTGAAATGCACCATGAAGCTTTGAGTGAAGCTCTTCCTGGGGACAACGTGGGCTTCGATGTAAAGAACGCACCTGTCAAAGACGTTAGACGTGGCAATGTTGCTGGTGACAGCAAAAATGACCCACCCATGGAAGCTGCTGGCTTCACCGCTCAGGTGATTATCCTGAACCATCCAGGCCAAATCAGTGCTGGCTATGCTCCTGTGCTGGATTGTACACTGCTCACATAGCATGCAAGTTTGCTGAGCTTAAAGAAAGATTGATCGTCGTTCTGGTAAGAAACTGGAAGATGGCCCTAAATTCTTGAAATCCAGTGATGCAGCCATCGTTGATATGGTTCCTGGCAAGCCCATGTGTGTTGAGAGCTTCTCTGATTATCTTCCATTGGGTCATTTTGCTGTTCTTGACATGAGGCAGACAGTTGCTGTGGGTGTCATCAAAGCTGTGGACAAGAAGGCTGCTGGAGCTGGCAAAG